CGTGCTCCTGGAGCCAGGGCAGCTCCTTCAGACGCAGGTAGTTTCTCCACTTGGGGTTCTTGGCGATAGAACCAGGGATGATGTGGCCAAGAAGGCTGTGGCGGTACTTGCGAAGGCGGTGCTCCTTGAGGTAGCGGGTCTCGGTCCAGTACCTGCGGTGGTCCCAGGTGTAGGTCGGGAGGTCATTGAGCTTGGCTCCGGTATCAACCTTGACAAGACTGCCATCCGCTCCCAGGCTCAAGTTTTGGTTGGCGGCAATGAGATCGACAGGGTAACCGAGAGAGAACAATGTACCGGCAAGGTTGAGCAGTCCCTCGAAGTCGGGAACACCACGAGTCAGCGAGCCGATGTAAGGCAGGTCAAGCTTCAGAGACTGGGTGGTCTGGCGAGCAGGGCCCTTCAGGGCAGGGTGGGGGCCAAGCTCAATCAGGACGTCAACATTTTGCTCATCTTCCTCGTCGAGAAGAATGCCGGTGAGAGCGTCGGAGAAGCGAACAGCGTTGGTCATGTTGGTGGCCCAGTACTTGGGTCCCATTGACTCGTAGTCAGCCAGGCGAGAGGTTACACTGGAGAACATGCGGCAAGTGGGCTTCTGGGTGGTGAAGGTCTTGCAGTTCTTGAGCGCATTCTCGTAAGCACCAGCCAAGGCGTTCATGTGGTGGCTGTGGAAGGCCTGCTTGACGATAAGCTGGCGGACGAAGACCTTCTTCTCAGTAAGGCTGTCCTTGAGCTCGAGAATAGCATCCTCATCACCACTGATCGTCATCGTGCTTGGGGAGTTGACAGCGGCGATGCAAAGGCGACCCTTGTAGGGCTTGAGCTCCTCGAGAGCCTTGGCCTCAGTGAGGCCGACAGCCATCATACCACCAGGCTTGCCATTCTCATTGGGGGCAGACATGTAACGACCGCGGTAGTATGCAGCAATGAGTGCGTTCTCAAAGGTCAAGATACCGGCAGCAGCGGCAGCGGCCATCTCACCTGATGAGTGACCGACGACAGCGGAGGGAGTGATACCCCATGCCTTGAGAACTTCGAGCAGGGCGAGCTGCAGAGCAGTGCAAATGGTCTGAGAGTAGAGGGTCTCGCCAAGAAGAGTAGTCTCCTTGGTCTTGCAGAGTTCCTCGAGGATGGACCATTCGGGCCTGTCGGGGAGCGCCTGAAGAATGCTGTCGCAATGCTTCAGGCTCTGGCGGAACAAGGGGCTCTCCTCGATCAACTGGCGACCCATGGCAAACCACTGGGCACCCTGGCCGGTGAAGACGAAGCCAAGTCTGGGGGAAGACTTGTTGGCCAGAGTCCACTTGGCGGCAGGGCGGGCAATAGTCAACTGCTCGGCTAGTGATGCGGAATCATTGGCAACAACGAAAGAACGCTGGCTGTGAAGAGTGCGGCGCGTGGCCAGACTGTAGCAAAGGTCGGCGACGTTGACATCTCCCTGCTCAAGGTACTTCTTCAGTGTCTCCTCGGTGAGCTCACCAGCCTTTGCGGAGTGAGAGGTAAGCGGAACGAGGTACGGGCGAGCGTGGACACCGTTCTCGATGGCCATGACAGAGCGGGTTTTGGGGGCAGCGTTCTTCTTGTACTCTTCCAAGACGACATGTCCGTTGGTGCCGCCGTATCCAAAAGAGTTGATTGAGGCTCTCCGGGCAATACCCTCTGGCACCTCCCAAGGAGTCATCTTGGTAGGGACAGCAATCTTCCAGTCATCGAACATGATCTTTGGGTTCGGGTTGTTGAAGTGCATGTTGGGGGGGATCTGTCCGTTCTCAAGCGCAAGAGTAGTCTTGATAAGACCTGCAAGACCAGAAGCACCCTCGAGATGACCAATGTTGGTCTTGACGGAGCCGACGTACAAGGGGTTGCTTCGGCCGGGGGAGAAGACTGCGCCGATGGCACGGGTCTCAATAGGGTCACCTGCGGCAGTGCCGGTACCGTGTGCCTCGAAGTATTGTGTGTGCAGCGGGTTGAGACCGGCCTGCTCGTAGGTGGAACGGATGAGATCCTCTTGGGCAACGCTGTTGGGCAAAGTGATCCCGTTCTTTCGGCCGTCGTGATTGCTTCCAGTAGCTCTGACGATGGCACGGATGTTGTCACCAGCAGTCTCAGCGGCGCTCTGGCGCTTGAGAATGGCTGCGCAGATACCCTCACCACGGACGTAGCCGCTTCCTGAAGCATCGAAAGCGCGGCAGCGACCATCTGTGGATAGCATGCCAAGGTCCGTCATTGTGATGTAGATGTTGGAGTCGAAGTGGAGAGCAGAACCAACAACGATGGAAATGTCAGCCTCGCCATTCTTCAGCGATTGGTTGCTAGGGAAGAAATTATGTTAGCTATAGTGAAAGATGGAGAGCAATATGATCGCAAACATACCCAAGGTGGAAGCAGACAAGAGAAGATGAACATGCGGTATCAAGAGTGATGGAGGTTCCGTGCAAGTTGTAGAAGTACGAGATTCTGTTGGACAGAATGGCGTTACCGGTACCAGTGGCGTGGTACATGGGGTAGTTCGCCGTCAAGTCCTTGCCAGTCATGGAAAGATAGTCGTTGGTGAAGCTACCGCAGAAGACGGAAGTCTGAGAGCCACTGATGTCCTGAAGAGTGATACCAGCGTTCTCCAAGGCCTCGTAGACGACCTCGAGCAACAGGCGCTGCTGAGGGTCCATGGCATCGGCCTCCTTTCCAGAAATGCCGAAGAAGGAGTTGTCGAATTCGGCAATATCCTGCTCAAGGAAGTAGCCGAAGCGAGCGTTCGTCTATAATCATTGGGTTAGTCTATAGTTGCTGCGTCTTGTCTGGATTAATCAACTCACGGTTCCCTTGCGGGTGCCATCAGGGTGGTCTACAAACATTGTTAGTCTTTGTGAATTGGGTTAGAGAAGATAGAGACACTCACAGTAGTTGTCTACATTGAAGCGGTCCTCGGGCATCTTGCGCTGGACATCTCGCTGAGCCGCAATGTGGTCCCAGAGCTTGCTGGGGTTGGAAGCGCCAGGGACGCGGCAAGCAAGGCCGACGATGACGGTGGGGTCATTCTCAGTGGCGTTGACTCGGGCAGACATTTTGATCGGTTGCGAAGCTGGGAAAGCTAAGTAAAGGTGAGCTTGGTATGCTTGGCTGGATTCTTTGGTCTGCTGAGGAAGTGGTCGACAAAGATGATTGTCGATTGTGTTTCGTGATCGAAGGTAATTTGCCAGCTATCAGGAAGGAAAAGAGTTGATATCAAGTATCGAGAGTTGAGTTCAGGGACAAGGGAAGAAATGGAGTCTTCCGCGAACAAGTAGGATGCTCTGAATCAAAAGGTGATGGTTGAGGTGAGAGAACCCTGAAACTGGAACTCTACGATACTTTGCTGGTTGAAGATCATGAAGCGAAGAGTCGAACTAAGTCTATGAGAGATGATGTGTTGAGAGTGACGAGGGAAAGAGATTGAGACGAACTGTAACCCGAGCTTATATGTTTGAAGAGGAGATGTTGATGCTCCTCTATCGATGATGGAGCTCCTCTGGATATCGGTGCCTGCCATTGGAGGTATGCAAGGACGTCTCTGCGCGATGGAGCACTTTCGGCTCCTCAGTCAGAGGATCGCATTGAAGATTTCCGAAGCTGTCCGGAGACAGGTTCCGGTCAGTTGTGAGCCTCCGAGTGACTCCGGAGGCTACTATTTCGGTGCTCATGATGCAAGTGGAGGTATCGATAGCCGCGGCGCAGTCTGGTGCATGTTGACGGAGGCATTGTTGGCCGAACCCATGGCAAAAGGGTAGGCAACCAAAACAAGGGTAAGACGGAACGCAGAAGCGCGGATGCCATAGTGTAGCGGCAGGACGGAGATGATAGGGCTGACGAATAGACGAGCGTGTATCGCGGAGAGCGCCTCACAGCCGCGCCTTGGAGGATAATCGCCAGGTAGCTTCTGCAACTAATGACTGAAGAAAGACGATGTTCCCAACGGGGGATGGCTTTGATCGAGGTTCGGAGAGGTGGAGAGTTGGGACGGGGCAGCGTCTGTGTGGATGTCATGCCGCCCATCCTTCCCTTGCCAGATGGAGGCTTTCCAGGGGTCCATCCTACGGTACATGCGAGGTACAAGGGTGAAGTCGCTGAAAGTACCTGCACGATTTGCACAAAGTCGAACGGCGAGTTATGCCAAAGGACCTTTGGATTCGCCAATTGAGGAGATGATTGACGTATGTATAGGATCGGCGAGGGTTCGTCGAGCAGCTTGGGAGCTTAAGCAATGCTGACCGAGGCGAAGACAATCCATGGCGTATAGAATTAACAAACTTGGCTTTCCGTCGTGTCTTGCTTTAGCAGATCTCTTCTTTACGCTACAGGTGCTGCGGTTGTCAAAGTTGCATTGAGCTTCGTCCCATCTCGTCTTTGTCTCGTCTGCGTAACGAATCCCAAGCTCACGGTTTAACCGCCCCGAATTGAGACATTTGGGTATTGAATGCCTAATGATTCAGCCGTCTCGCCTTGGCCGAGGATACGCAGCGATACGCAGCGATTGATGATAGCTGCGAGTCTGACATGATGACTGAGCTGTGAATAGGTACTGCGTGCATTGTACGTGCGTATCCGCACATACGAGAAGCTGAAGGTGAGAGAGAGGATGATTTGAGAAGCAGAGGTGGAACGAGGAGTCGCTAGCCAAGCTGGTTGGTTCACTGGCGACTTTTCGGCTTAGTCACGGATTCTTGGGGCGCTGTGCTGTGGCTTGCCACAGTCAGGACGGGACCTGGGATGACCGGGGCCATGAGTGGATCCAGAGTAAGCGGAGAAGGCCTTTGTGTTCCATTGGCTCGATAAGCGACCCTTGCACGCTCCAAAGCCCCGCTCTGACTAAGTCGACACCTAGGTGTATTTCTTCGTTTCTCACCCCTCAGGCAGAATCCTTCCCGAACACAGTGAATGACACAGTGTCCCGCACCCAGCACCTTGAGGGGGTTTCTGGGGCGGAGAGGCGGGCAGCGAACACAGCCGGGCATGTTGGTGCATCTTCGCAGCATCAACGTCTCATCGCGCGCTATACCGTCCCGCTACTCCCAGCAGGCAACAGAATAACCTCAAGTTCCAACTCACAATGGAAATCCCGACTCCCGCTGGCATGCATTTTCCCCACTATACTATCCTCTTGGGTATTCACCTTTTACACGTTTTGCTTCGTTTTGCCTTCTCCGGGACCGAATCCACATGGCATCCTGACATGATCAACATCCTCATCCTCTTTTCGTCTCCCCACACCTCCGGCCATCATCTTTACCTTATTCGGTCTTTAAACACTCAAAATCCGTTATCTGTTCCCTGTCAATCAATTTCAATTGCTAATTTCTGCTCAGAATCCCACAACTTGGTCATCCGTTGATACCAACAAGACCTGAAACACAACGTGACAATGTGGGAAATTGCACCGCTTCCGCTGCTGAACGCAGTCCGCTGCTGAACGCCGTCCACTGCGAGGGAATTACACATGCAGGCCAAGCCGAGGCGACATAGCAGCGTGTCATCTCAGCCCTGTGCTGTGTATCGAATTACCGCATACACTGCGTCTAAGACTTTTGTGTCTCTCGCACTCGTCCCGCATGGCACTGCATCGGCCGCCATTGCTACCTTGCTACCTACATCATGTACCCGTTCTCTAGGCCCATAAGGCAGCCAACGTCGAGTGTCTTTCCCAAGCCACCGCGCCGCCGAGGTCATGGTCGAAGAAGAAACCTTCCGCGCTTACATTGGAGCGCAGATACCTCGATTCAGGGCGTACATCCTGAGACAGGGCAGGTATCTCCCCTGCTCTGTGTGATGATTCCTTCGCCTTCGACGATCTTTCCATTTCGAGGTCAGACCAGCCTGGTCCTCCTGCCACACCCCTTGACAACTACGGAGACCCTGGCGCTTCCTGACTTACATGGCACCATCTTACGGTGTATAGCTTTGGTGAGAGTTGGTGCCTCCCGTTTTGGATCACTGCTCAGATTCTACCCGGGGTTCCGCCTGCTCAGTCATCCTTCCGCAACTTCAAGTCTTCTCTTCGCGGGTAATGCTTTCCAAGGCAAGTACTTTGCAACCACGCTCTGCTAGAGCAGTAGGTCGAGTATCCTACTGGGTTCTTTCCTTCCAACGGACCGATATCAATGGCTTCATCCTTCCGTCCGCTAGAAGACTCAATCAGTAGCATGGGAGCGAACCTAATGCGCGCCTCTTGGAGATTTTTCCGCTGTGCCTCTTCCTTCGTATCAACAACACATCACCGTCCAGCTGCAGTCAATTGCCATCTTCCCATCCATTTCGGGTATGCTTAACACACATTTCGCTTCGCCATGGCTCGCCCTCCGCCTCTAACCTTTTGTGCCAGCTCCATCAGTCTTCTCGCGGGCTATTTCCTTTACACTCGCGGTCCTCGCGTAGCTACCGTGCCTCGAACTCATCTCCACCGCACCTATTTGCGTCCACCGTCAACCAGGGTCTACACAGCTTCGCCACTGTTTACCGGTCCCTTTCAACATCGAATCAGATCCTCAGATCGGGGCTTTTCTGCGGCAGGATCTCTGTTGCAGTGTTTCACATCCGCGAAAATGGAAAATCGTCCTTCCTATGTCCCTGGCCGACTGGTCGACAATCTAGTCGGATACAGCTTCATTCCACACCACCCCATCAAATTCGGCCCCGGCCTGCACCTGAGCATCCAGTCGTCTTTTCCATTTCAAGTCGACCGAACCATGCGTCACGTCGCTTTCTTTGAAGCAACGGGGTATACCGTGTTCAGATGTCTGATGCATGCTCTTCAGGATACCTCAATATTTTGCCATGTGTGTAAGTGAAGGCTATGCCTCTCAGGTCTACACGCACAATAGCATGCCCGCTTCCCAATTTTCAGGGCTCTCATCCCCTACACTTTCCTCTTGTGGATGCTCAGGGTTGACTGCTTCAGACGTCAGGTGCGAGGAAAGTCTCCTGGAGATGTTTGACGACGCGGATGACTTCAAATCGGAATACCTTGACCGCATGAAAATTGTTACGGCATACTTAACTCCAGAAACTGCAGCTGAGGTCCTTTTCCCGGAGGAACTCCGAGGACAGCCCGTCCACACAGTTGTCTACGGCATCGGAGGCTTCAGGACCTAGGAGATCTCAGCAGGGGAGGGTGACAAGTGCGACGTCTACATCAGCGAAGCGGGCATTTGTCACATATTCGACGCCTTGCGTATGCGCTTTGCCGCAATTCCACCGAAGCGCAAACCGCGCCTCATCAGTGTCGGTTCTCTTTCCATTGACGAGCAGGTCGATGATACTTCTGATCAGCTGGCAGTGGAGGTAAGACCTCTTTACTTATGGTTCATGGGGATGGTTAGTGAGGAAGTTCTTGACAACGAGACGTTTTTACGAGAGCTTCCTTACGGCAGTGAAGGTAGTGATACCAGCAGCTATGATTCGTCCAACGAGTGCGACCAAAGCAGCAGTCTGCACAGCAGCCTGAGCAGCTTTGCATCTCGAGACTGGGATCAGCCCAAGGTGAACTTTCCGCCAAGAACGCCTTATGACGACAAGATGGAAATGGAGTATACTATCAGCGAGAATTGCAACAAGGAACTTTACAGTTCCAGTTTGATTGTAAGGCCGACCCTCCTCACATACACCAAGCCACGTGGGGTTGAGGCAGTACGAGTTGGCCGGGAGGGAAACCAACCGCGAGGCTGGACAATCAGCAGATTCGACTCGGGCCACTGGCTATATCAATATGGTATTTGTAGCAGTATGGAAGGCATTGCTACAATCACAACGTAGACTCGGGCTGGCATTCAGAGCAAAGGTAGGTCGATGATGGATGATCGAGAGATTGGTGGCTTTTATGAGCGATTACAGCGAATAGCTACGCCTGGGCTGTTAGAGAAGACAGCATCAAGTAGACTGAATCATAAGCATCACTTGCTTTAATTGCACATAGTTCCCGTCCCCTTGAGGGGTAACGGTATGCTGTGGGGAGGGGTCAGTTGAATGTGTAGTAGGCCCTAGCCCGTCGTTCATCATGGGCCACCCCAGCGACCAATCTGCAGCTCGGTACTAGCCGCATCTCCCCAGCCACACCAAATCGGCTCAGCTCTACACTACGGACTTGCTATCCGTACTGTTGACCGGGCTCGCTTACAAGGCACTGTCAATGGCTGAAAATAGCTGGGCTTTTGTTTTTTTGCAAAGATCTACGAGGGTAATCCCTACTGGAGAAGCAGGGCCTTGGCCCCTTTGTTTTGGCTAGTCTGGTTCACGTCTGCAAATCAAGCACCAAGAAGACAGTCTTGTTGTTGTGATCCTCTACTTGGAGGATTTGCCAGCGAGCGGCCTGAGGAAAACCAACACGCCTCAGGATCACATTCAAGGGGGGCTTCAAGACGATGTGTCTCCATTTCTGGACGCTTGCGACGGAGGATCGAATCTTGCTTACTCTGTGGGCGGCTCGTCTCTATCTTCATCTCTGTCTTGGGTCTCAATGGAGTGAGTGTATCGTTGATGTGACTTGCAATGAGGGTATAGTGACAATCCGGTTGATCGGGTCAGCACTCAAGTTCATGTTACAGTGAAGATGCCTTGGCAAGACGATAATAACTATGGACGACAGCAGCAGCAGCAGCATTAGCGAGCTTCATGCGATCCAGAACGCTGGGAGCAGAGGCTGGGGAGCAGTCCTAAGCCTTGTTCTTGGGTTCGACGAAGCCATGTAACGCTGTTCTCTGCACCCAGGCCATACTGTAACTATTCCGCATGCTGGAGTCTTGTCGGAAACAGGCAGTACTCGGTGCAGGGAGCGCTTTGCCCTTGCAGTCGGCCGCCTTTCATTACCAAGGGCTAGGTGGAGATGGTCAAGTGCGGCGAGAAATGTCGGGGGTTCTCCGTGATGGCGGGAGGGGGCACTTTGGATGTCTGCCTGATAAGACTGAGTGGGAAAGATCTTCGCTGTCAAGGTGTTGCAAAGACCCTGCCTGAGTCTCAATGCGGCCTCAATAGGCGAAGATTGTGGAGAAGGAGGAATTGGTTTTGGTAGTCTACCATCTGACCGGTATGACTGTCGAAAGGCCCCGAGCTGTAGATGCGGTCAATCTCAAAACGGAGGTATCCTTCGAGATGCTGCACTAGAATTGTCACCGAGTACGAAAGTCCTAATAAGACTATGCGAGCCGCTCTTGTTGATTCGTCCCTAAGAGCATGTGCAAGTTTTACTCTACTTCGAATTGCTCTCTGCATTGGACCGAAGATCGTTGAGATAGTCTCCGGCCGCGTCGAATCCAAAGGGACGAAGGAGCGGGGACCTGGGAGCAGCGGTATGAGGTGATGCGGAGGTGTCGGGACTGGCTGCGCGCTTCTCTCGTAAGCCGTGGATGGGCGGCGCGGGATGAGTGAGCGCGCGCTTTCTCGATTTGGTCAGTGGGTGAATTGAGTACTCAGCTCCCTTACGAGTATGTGTGCGTGGGAGGCATGGAATATCGGGTAACAAGTCGACCCGGGATGATGTGAGAACCTTGGTGCCTTGAGTACAGCACGACTGCACTGTGGTGAGATTTTCGGAACTTAGTGTGAGAGGAGAGCCGGACCACCGAGTAGCCGGGGACACTAGACGATAGACGCGTTGTTGAGCTGGCACGGCTGGCGTACCGTGAAGGATGGGGGCAGTGGTGTTGTTGGGTTGCGGTTGCGACGGTCGAGTTGCTGTAACCCTCGTAAAGGATATAGATCTACGTTGGTGAGAAGTTTGTTTGTTGAAGGCTGTCAGGTTGTTGGAATCCGACTGGGCTAATTCGGCATGTTTGGTAGACTTGGGTGGTCTAGGTACACCTACCTACCTTAGGTAAAGTAGGTAGTAGAGGTAAGCTGTAGACGTTGAAAGTAGGGTTCTCGTAGCCCGTTTCGCAGCAAAAAGGAGAAGCCTGAGTGGCCAGCCTTCATTGCGGATGGACTTTGGTTCATCCCAAGCCATTCCTTGCCTCAGGCCGTACTCTTCTTTCATCTGATCTTGAGGTGGCTGTCCCGCGTTGTGGCGGCGCTGTTGTGGAACGTATAACGGCTTCGAAGATTGGTGTTGGCCCCGCGGCATCAGGCATTGAGTGCTCGGAATACCACGACATTGAGAAAGACGATTGTCGTCCAACACAGGTCGTGTGCAACATTACGTGCTTCGTTTCTATTGCGTACGGCGCTGCTAAGGTCCGGTGATCTAGCCGATGCACGACGTAGAGAAGGGGGGCCGTTTCAGTGCTTTGGGGGTTGCAGAAGCTAACGACACGGCGACCCTGACTAAGGTAGGCCGCCTAAGACGGACTTTTCGATCAGGCCGTCTTTGGTGCGGCCTTGGTCACCCCGCAGGCGTAGGGTAAAAATTCAGGTGGCCTGCTGTGCAGCAAAAGTCTGGGGTGAGGTGATGGAAACGGCAAATGCTGAGAGATTCGATGGATGGGAGTGTGAGCAGACGGGGAGTGTGATGACGAGGTGGGAGAGGTGAGAATCATGGCGAAGGCAGTGGTGGACTGACTTGACTACGTGACTGCCTTGTGTGTAAAACATTTGGGGGCAGGAAACGTGGGACGCAGATGATCGCAGAGGCAGGAAGCACTGTGAGGGCGCTGCTGCCCAGCAGGTGGAGCAGACGGGACACCTCACCCTTGTGGGCGACGGAAAAACAGGACCCGCCGACGAGGGGGGATCTCCCGAAATAGATCCATGTGCACGGCCCATTGGGGTTAGTCGCCAGGGATCAGGGGGTGACGGCCCTGCTCAATGTCAATGAAGGAGAAGAGAGTCTGGGGAGCGTCACTCAGGTATGCCAGTGTGGTGCCTTAGGTGCGCTAAGGAGTTTTAGTGATGATGAAACGAATTCCTTCCTCCGCTTGAAGATATCTCCAATGCTTCCTTTCCCAAGAATCGCCAGCTATTGCCTCTCCTCCGCCGAAATGATGCGGCCGTATCTAGACGGGAGACGGGGGCGAAGGTTTTGTTAGTGTCGGAGGACATAATGGTTCATCGTGGGTGTTGGTTTACTCTGCTTTAGAAATTGCACATTGGCCGAGCTTCTTTCCGCTCCTCAAAACTTTTCTGCTAAGCACCTGGGTTTTCAATAACAGAACCGAGTCCGAGGAATCCGATGTGCCCCCAAAAGCCCCCCTGGATATGCCTACTGATGATCTGAGTCGCGTTGCGCGTAGCAGCGGCCCCTTGCTTGGATGCAGCGGTGATCATGAGCACCCAGCATCCAGGACTGAGGCTGAAGGCCTTGGGGGACCATCGCATCATGCGGCTCTCAAGACACCAAGACGGGCTCTTGCCTTTCTCGTCCAGGTCGGCCGCCGTGACATCGTCAGTTTTTTGGAAGCATTAATCCACAGAAGCAGTTGAGTGCATGCGTATGCGGCAACCTTGAAAGCCCCTCCCGTCCATTCCGCCGTCCCCTTGCTTGCAGAACCAGGGCACTGAGGGATGCCCAGAAGTCAAGGTTGACCTTCTTGGCGACTAGGGTGTCTTCAGGCAGAAACATATTTTCGAGCATGAGTCCGAATTGTCCAGTCGGCGCGAGAGATATCGCAAGGGTCTTTATCGGATGCGGAGGTAATTCATAATTGAAGAAAGTTGTGCACTCCGATGCAAAACATTTATGTTGGAACAAAACAAGAGAATTTTGCTGCGATTCACGTAATCTGCGGCCTCGCCATTTCTGCTTTTGGGCGATGCTGACACAGCTCGCCTTTGATGCCGAATGAGAACGAAAGTTCTCTTTGCGTTGTTGCAATTGAGTGTGGCTGAACAGGGGCGGAGGAGAAGAGGGCGGGAGGGGCCTGATGCGACAGACCCACTTCGGACCCGCGACCGGGCCCCGCTTCCTGGCCGGCATCGGCACCCGGCGCGGCTGCCTTGGCCACTTCCCGTTGAGGAAGTTGCGGATCCCGCAATACTGCTGCACCTCGCCTCTGCGGAATTTCGGCCATCAGGCAGATGACTCTCTAAACTGGGAGCTCGGCTATCTTTCAGGACAGGATCTTCAATTGCAGTCAATGACAGAGTATGGTACTGCCTGTTCAGGTTAACAAACCGGCAGACGGAGCAAACCGTTCGTAGAGTTGGCCCCAGTAGTTTCCTCATTGCGC